TCAGTTCAGTTCAGTTCAGTTCAGCTGAGTTCAGTTCAGCTCCTAATTTCCTTCTCTTTTAAAATATTCAGTTCAGTTCAGTTCAGTTCACTTCAATTCAGTTCAGTTCAGTTCAGCTCAATTCAGTTCAGTTCAGTTCAGTTCAGCTGAGTTCAGTCAATGAGAACAGGCCCGTAGTCACGTATTTTTCAATCATAAACTTTTTTATACTCCGTATTATTTTTTTTATTGATAATCATATTGAAAATTAAAGCTATGTTTGAAATCATGCATTGACAATTACGACAATAATAAAAATGGATGAATTATAAAAATTATAAACCTGAACAATTGTGTCATTGAACATGAGTGAACCCGATGATGTCTCGGATGTAATTCGTTGCATGAATTTATTGTTGCTAGTAAAACAATATATTGCGAGCGCCTTCGGCCTTGAATTAATGAAGTTTATACTATCTTCAATTTTATCTACCTGTTTTAACAAATCACAATAATATTGTTTATTGTTTTGAGTAATAATTTTTTCAATAAAGTAATAATTGTATGTTAATTTATTATTATGAGTCAAATGCATGGATGATTTTATTAATTTACATACCGTAATTATTGGGAGCAACGGGCCAAATATTTCTCCAGTCATAATTTCAGCATCAAGTGGAGGATCCACTAATATTGTTGGCTCAATAAACCTGCTCAACAAATTAAAGTTATTTATTTCAATTGGATTATTTGCCAACTATTCTCATTTATACAGTATATTGTACAAAAAAATCTAAGCTACATTATAACAAAATTTTGTAAATTATAACTACCTAGAAAGACTAGAACTAGTAGATTAACTAGGGAATTCACGATAAAATCACATTTTATTCGATATTATTATAGTAAATCTATCACGTAATACTTGTATATATATACCTTACAAAGAAAGGGTTTCTAATCCCTCTATATTAGGGTTTTGTTTATCTATTTTGACTTCATAAACTCATATCAAAGTAACACCAAGTAAATTTCAGGAAATTAAATTAACTTACAGCTTATTTTCGTCGAATCTTCCACCATAGACTACAGATTGCTTGACTCCAAATTCATCAAGAAGTCCTGTTAATCGCCTAAAATGATGTATGTTGACAATTCTTGCAACAAATTCTTCGGGGTATTCCCCTAGACTTCTCTTGATTCCAGCCTTTAATAACTCAACCTGAACATACATACAAAATTATCATACATTAAGTAGTATGTACGTACTAATTGTTATATTGTCAAAAATGAAAGAAATTAATCGTGCATTTCGTATTATTTCCACATAAATCATACCAAATTCGAGCATTGTTTTCTTTCTACAAGGATGTAATCCACTCCAATGCATACTTGACCACTGCATATTCCGAATTTCCCTCCTAGCAATCGCTTAATGATAATCTAATGATTGTTTTAGTAACCAAAGAAAAAAAAAACAGCATGAAACAAATTTTAGCAAGTTAAATGTAACATACTTAAAGGACGAATTAAGATTTAATTTACCTCTGTTAACCATGAATTCGATATCGAATCAACGATACATGGACATTTTCCACCAAGCTCCAACACTACTGGTGTCAAATGCTTTGCAGCAGCAGCCATAACAATCCGTCCCACTAGACTACTTCCTGTGAAAATATACCAATTTGCGGTTAGCTAAGCTATATCTCGTAATTATGGCACCTTCGGTTGGCAATAATATTAGTAAGGGTATCCGCGTAATTTTACAATCAACGTCTAATGCCAATATCTAAAGTACAGTAATAAATTAATTTCACATGGTATGTACAATAATGTATTGTACTTATAAATTTCTAATGTTTCACTACCACACACTCACACAACGCCAATTCTAAATTGGTAGCGATTGAACTTACACAAAAAAAGCATCAATATTAAATCAATATGTACTTAGCATCATTTATTATAATCTATCAAACTAGCTGTAAATATTTATTTCTAGCAATAACCGACACGGTACTAAGTAATGTAGATCTATGAAGAAAAAATAAGTGATAGTAGTTAAAAGACTAGACCTGTGAAGAAGATCTTGTCCCATTTACACAGCAAGAGTTGGCCACAAACATCGATTCCGCCTTGAATAACCTTCACAGCTTCAGGATCGACGTAAGCTGGGATGGCTTTCGCGAGAAGAGCAGAGGAAGCAGGGGATAATTCTGATGGTTTAATCACTGCAGTACATCCTGCTGCTATTGCACCTATAAGTGGCTCCAATGCTAAACCTTTACCATTCAAAAAATAAATATGTTAACAAACCATGTTTTGTATATATTTACTAGGCTAGCTTACCAAATGTTCATATACTACGTATTTATCTAGACTTTTTAGTTTTTACCAAATGGGAAATTCCAAGATGATATTATGAGGACAACACCAAGGGGCTCCGCGACCAGTTTTGCTGAAGTACGATATGCAGCTAATGGTAATTTAATCTGCGAAATTAAAAAAAAAAAAAAAATGTTAATTATTCGCGCTATATTAATGTTGATGCTAGTATCTCTAGCGGCTCGGGCTTGTATTTAACATGATCTATTCGTGTACGTGTTATTTTACTCATTGTTGATTCAATAATGAAATAATAATGCTATTTATGTTTTCATGTGTTTGTTTGCATTGGGAACTATAATAGCTGACCTTTTTACCAGACATCCATTTATCAAAGTTATCCAATGCTATGTTAATATCCTTGATCAGGGTTCCTACCTGCAAAATAAACACACAAACGAACAAACAAAATTAGTTTGTACCAAACTAATTATTATCAATGGACTGGATCGGCCCAGCCGATGGGTATAACCTAGGAGAGGGACCAAACTATTGGCTAGAGCCAGGCAAACATACTTGGCTGAATCGGTCTGGTTTAATTCAAGACCGATCAACCAACAAGTTAAATATATTCAAGATTTCAATTTTTAAAACATTGCACGAGTTTACGTGTGGCTCATAGCAGACACGCGTTGTGCCTTTGGTTAGGGTTGTTCAATTCACTGTGGTCTATTAGGCTAACACACCTTTTAGATTACGGCGATTAATAAATAGAATGGGCTAGGCTAAGTTTGTCACATGATCCATTCATCGGGACAGTTGGACCATCGTGATCCTAGTCTTTGTAGACATTGGATGTATGGGAAGGATTTTATGGGCATAAGTACATAACAACTTTAAAATTAAACCATAAAAATTCTAACAACTAATGACCTAATTTATCATCTCTACCTACAAAAATAATGTTGTCAAACATACACATAAATACTCAATCTCATGTCAAGAACCTAATATGATTATTAAAGCCTATAGAAAAGGCTTTAATTATTAAAGCCCAAGTGGGCCAAATATAACACGATTTTCACAAATCTCATTTTCCTCTTTTTTTTTTTAGAAAAATATAGATCAAAATAAGGTATTTATTAAATCAAATCAAGTTCCACTTTCTTTCAAAAAAAAAAAAAAAAAAAAAAAAAAAAAGTCAAGTTTCACTACAGAATTTATAAAATCAAATCAAGTTCCGCTAAAACATTGATATATATACTTGTATTTTTGTACCTCGTCTCTGAAAGCTTCGACGGGGTGCTTGCCAATATCAAGCTTAAGGGCTTTAAGTATATCTTCTTCTCTTTCTTTGACAAACTTGAGCAAACCTTTCAATTGTTGCTTCCTCCATGATGCTTCTCTAGTTTTCCCAGCACAAAAGTACTCTCTTAGTTCTTCAACTTCTCTCTCCATTTTGTTACAACAAAAAAAAAACTGATTATTATGAATGAGTAATAAGAAGATAGGTCTCTATAAATATACTGTTACAAATTTTAAAAGAGTACGGGTAATCACTCTTATTACTCATTTATCATCAGTGTAACTACTTTGTAGTACGTCACCCCACCCACCATTTATTAGTTTCTCAATGATTTCTTACAATTTCCTGAGCTAACCATCACTGTATGGCAGTAATGTCTTTTTCTACAAGGTTAGGTTTTCATATGATAAGCTTATTTTTTAGGCAATCTATGATAAGCTAGTACAAATAATAATTAGTGTTTTTTTTTTTTTTTTTTTTACGACAAATATGTACTTTCTCTGTTCTTTTTTACTTGACCTGTTTCTTTTATCACGCTTGCCAATGCAAAACTTTAACGATCAATAACTTAAATTATCCATAAGTAAAAATTATAAAGTTATATATTATGATAGTACTTATTGAGATGAATCCAAAAAGATCATACATGAATATATTTTTCCTTACATATTATTCACAAAAGACGGTCAAAGGAGGGGTGGTGAATAGTATAAAAGTCAAAGCGGGTCAAGTAATAAAGAATAGAGGAAGTAGTTTTTAGTTGTTCTCGAGTATTGTACACTGTACTATATGCAGGTGTATCCATGACTGTTTTTTTCGCTCATTTTAAGATAAGATCGAAATTGTGCAAGGGTATTGGTTTTAGAACGAGTTTAGTACTTTAGTCATATCTTTAAAATTTAGAAATGATATTGACCTAATTCTAATTGGGTTAAAAAGTAGATATCCAGAGCTTTCCAATGATATATTAATCATTGTAATTTGAGTTCTTGATCAAAAGTTATGATAAAAACAAAATTTGTAAAAAAAATGGAAAAGGAAGTAAGAAACGCCTAAAAAATTCAAAACTCCGATCCGTGGGGAGAAAACTAGGCATTTGGCCTCCAACCATTTTTTTTTTATTAAAAAAAAGCACGACTTAAATTCCGTCGATAGATAACCTCGCTCTCGGTCAGTGGTGGCCTAGTTAGTGGTGGTTTATTTGTTGGAAGGAGAGAATATTAATTATATTGAGTCAGCGGGAAGAAAAGCATAGAATACACGTGAGGATATGTTTTGTCCATTCATGTTTAAATGCAGGCATTACTTGAAAAAAATGAGGATGTCGTTTAGCTTTTACTTTTAGAAATAATGTGTATAATTTTCAATATTTGATACACTTGCAAAGTTCTCAAAATACACATTACAATAAATTCATTTACCATATACTTATACAACTTATTAATTAATTGAAGGAGATTTTGAAATTAACAATCACATCACATGCGTATTATTATGGTAATCCTTAATTAGTTTTCACCTCACACATCACATTTTTTTTAACAACGGTTTAAATAAATATAAAAGTATTAAGGCTAGTATATAATGGTAGCACAACTTTTTAAGTTTAATGAATGCTTAAATATTGGCGGGAAGTTTCTTAGCCTTCTTCAAACCCAAAACGATGAGGAGAACACTGAAGTATTTGAAAGCAAATGCTGCTCTTAAGAGTTCTAGCTTCTTATTGGTCCACGGAGGATACCGGAACCAAAAATCTGGGAATAAGGCTCTCTTCAGCACAGGCTTCTCATGGCTGAATGTGTCAAATGTAAATTTTCCATGGTATCTTCCAAATCCGCTTTCTCCCACCCCTCCAAACGGAACCGTGTCAGCCGCATACTGCATTGTGTAGCAAATAAAAGTTACACATATATCGAATTTTGTATGTCAAACTCAATTAGTGGTGGATCGAGGACTTCTTAGAACAGGTTTTATTGAAAAATAATGCACAAATAGTTACATATCCTATGTAATCATTTATTTCAAAACACCACGTATGTTATTTTTTTTTAATATATATATCTATAATGCTCGGTAAATGGTAATCTAGGCGGATCTTAATTTTTTAGGCGGATGTTTTATTTCAATTTACAAGTATATACTTTTTGTATTTTTTTGTTATTGATAATTGAAATTTTATGTTTGATATCATGTATCGACAAATGTATTAATTTTAAAAAAAAAAACGGATGAAGTATAAACCTGAACAATAGTGTCATTGAACAAGAGTGAACCCGAAGATGTCTCAGATGTAACTCGTTGCATAAATTCGTTGTTGCTGGTGAAACAATATATTGCAAGCGCCTTTGGCCTTGAATTAATGAAACTTATACTATCTTCAATTTTCTCTACCTGTGTTCACAAATCACAATAATATTGTTTTGATTAATAAATTTTTAATTGGTTGAATGTTAATTTACTATGAGTCAAAATGCATGGGTGATTAATTTTATTTACAAACCGTAATTATTGGAAGCAACGGGCCAAATATTTCTCCAGTCATAATTTCAGCATCAAGTGGAGGATCCACTAATATTGTTGGCTCAATAAACCTGTTCAACAAAAATTTTCATTTTGGAAAATTTAATTAGTCAACTATTTTTCATTTATAAAGATGTACAAAAAAATCGACCCGTAACAGAAAATTTACAAGTTATAAGTTATAACCTACCTAGAAGTCTAGAACCAGTGATTAACTAAGGAATTAACAACATTATCACACACTCATTCGATATTATTATAGTAAACGATTCATAGTTTCTTTTTATTGTCTATAGCCTTAGGCTTCCATTTATCGATTTTATCTTGTTTTACTTTTATCAACGTAACACTATCCTTTTGTATAACTATACAACTAATATAAGTGATAATATATAGGGTTATTAATAATACATGTTGATAGAGTATAAAACATATTTTCGGGCCTCAACCATTAGCTTAAGCTTTTGATTGAGTTGGTCCTCTAACATGGTATCGGAGTCAGTGTGACACAAAATCACGGGTTCGAATCTCATCTACCCCCACTTTCAAGTGGAATATTAAAGCGCTGGGTATGAGGAGGGCCCATGCTACACTTCTAGCCCGCGCATCCACAATTCCACACTTCTAGCCCAAACAGGCTCTCGTGTGAGGGGGAGCTGGGCCTCAACCATCAACTTAAGTATAACATTTTCTTCATATATATGGAGTCACGGAGAGAAACAATTGTAAATTTCAGGAAATTATATTAACTTACAGCTTATCTTCGTCGAATGAACCACCATAGACTATAGATTTTTTGACCCCAAATTCATCAAGAAGTCCAGTTAATCGCCTAAAATGATGTTTGTTGACAATCCTTGCAACATTCTCTTCTGGGAATTCCCCGAAACTTTTCTTGATTCCGTCCTTTAACAACTCAACCTGAACATTCATACAAATTTACCTTCATTAGTACTAGTACTAATATGTAACAATTGTTATTTTGTCAAAAGAGAAACAAATTAGTGCAATTCGTATTATTTCTAAATAAATCATACCAAATTCGAGCATTGTTTTCGTTCTACAAGGATGTAATCCACTCCAATGCATACTTGACCGCTACATATTCCGAATTTTCCTCCTAGCAATCGCTTAATGATAGTCTGGTGATTGTTTTAGTGAAAAAAAAAAAATCATGATGAAATAAACAAATTTTAGCAAGTTAAACAATTGTAACATACTTAAAGGACGAATTAAGATTTAATTTACCTCTGTTAACCACGAATTCGATATCCAATCAACGATACACGGGCATTTTCCACCCATTTCCAACACTACTGGTGTCAAATTCTTTGCAGCAGCAGCCATAACAATTCGTCCCACTAGACTACTTCCTGTGGAAATATACTGATTTGCAGTTAGCTAAGCTACATTTCGTACTTACGGCCCGTTTGGTTGGCATTAATATTGGTAAGGATATTTGCGTAATTTTACAATTGTGTTTTGTGTATACGGCACGTTTGATTGGCAGTAATATTAGTAAGGGTATTCACATAATTTTACAATCAATGTCTGCCATTATTTTTTTATTTTTCTTTTGAGGGAGTCTATCAATATCTAAGATTCTAAGGTACAATAATACGGAGTAAAATTTGTCTCACATGGTATGTATTGTGCTTATAATTTTCTAAAATTTCACTACCACACATTTACACAATGTCAACCTAAATTGGTAACGATTGAATTTACACAAAAAAGCACCATTATCAAATCAATACGCACGTAGTATCATTTATTACAACCTAGCAAATACATTGTAAATATTTATTCCTAGCAATAATAACCCATAAGTAATGTAGATCTATGAAGGAAAATAAGTGATGTTAGTTAAAAGACTGGACCTGTGAAGAAGATCTTGTCCCATTTACACAGCAAGAGTTGGCCACACACATCGATTCCGCCTTGAATGACCTTAACAGCATCAGGATCGACGTAAGCTGGGATGGCTTTCGCAAGAAGAGCAGAGGAAGCAGGGGATAATTCTGATGGTTTAATCACTGCAGTACATCCTGCTGCTATTGCACCTATAAGTGGCTCCAATGCTAAACCTTTACCATTGAAATAAAAAAACATGTCAAAAAAACTATGCTTTATAGTTTATACTAGCTTAGCTTACCAAATTATGTTCATATATATATATATATATATATATATATATATATATATATATATATATATATATATATATATATATATATATATTTATCTAAGCATTTTACCAAATGGGAAATTCCAAGATGCTATTATGAGGACAACACCAAGAGGCTCCGCGACCAATTTTGCTGAAGTACGATATGCAGCTAGTGGTAATTTAATCTGCGAAATCAAAAAAAGTTTAATTAATCTCGCTACACCTAAGCAGCTCAGACTCATATTTAACATAGTCTATTCGTGTACGTTTTATTCTTTTCAGATTGTGGTTTCAATTACAAAACGATGCTACATATGTTTTGTTTGCATTGGACCAAATAAAAGCTGACCTTTTTACCAGACATCCATGTATCCAAGTTATCCAATGCTACATTAATATCCTTGATCAGGGTTCCTAGCTGCAAAATAAACACACAAACAAACAAAAATCAATTTTTATCGGACTAACTATTATAAATGGACTGCTTCGGCCCCAGTCCGTCCACAGACGACTTGCATAGCCTAGCAAAGGGACCAAACTATTGGCTAGAGCCGAGCAGGTGGACTGGCTGAGTCAGTCTGGTTTAGTTCAAGACCGATCGATCAGCCAACAAGTAAAAAAATGATTCAAGATTTTAATTATGAAACCATTGCACGATTTTAGATGTGGCCCATGAATGCCATGAATAACACGTACGTGCAGCAGTCGTTGTGCCCTGGGTCATGATTGTTCATTGTGGTTCTATAAGGGATAAGGCTAACACATCTTTTAGATTATCGCGATTAATAAATAGAATGGTCTAGGGACTCTAGGCTAAATTTGTCGCATGATCTATCCATTGATGGGGTTCGTTGGACCACCGATCCTAGTCTTCGTACATACCGGATGCACGGGAATGATGTTTATGGGCCGAACAACTTCAAAATAAATTTCATAAAAACTCTAACAACTAATGACCTAATTTATCATCTCTACCTACAAAAGTAATATTGACAAACATACACATAAATTCTAAATTTCATGCCAAGATAACAGGCTTTAACTATTTAAGCTCAAGTGGTCCAAATAAATATAACATGATATTCACGATTTTTATTTTTTTTTCCTTCTCATTTTCTTTTATAAAGAAAAATATAGATGAATCAAAGATGAGGAATTTATTAAATCAAATCAAACTCTACTAAAACACTGATAAATATATTTTTTTTACCTCGTCTCTAAAAGATTCGACAGGGTGCTTGCCAATATCAAGCTTAAGGGCTTTAAATATATCTTCTTCTCTTTCTTCCATAAACTTGAGCAAACCTTTCAATTGTTGCTTTCTCCATGATGCTTCTCTTGTTTTCCCAGAACTAAAGTATTCTCTTAGTTCTTTTACATCTCTCTCCATTTTGTTTAACAAAAAAAACTGATTATTATGCCTTAAATAAGAAGATAGGTCTCTATAAATATACTGTTCCAACAATTAAAACCGTATGTTTTTTTTAAATAAAATATTAAAACAGTATGGGTTATCAGTCTTATTACTCATCAATTAGTGTAACTACTTTATAGTCCCCTCACCATTTATTAGTTTCTCTCTAAAATGTCTTAAAATTTCCTGAACTAACCATCACTATATGGCAGTAAAGCCAGTAATGTCTCTTTCTACATTTCAGTTTGGGCTTTCATATGATAGGGTGGTACAAATATAATCTGTGGTTTATACACACGGGTGTACAATGCTCATCATACACCCGGATAAATAAAAAAAGGCGGAAAGAACATCCTGTGTTTCATAAAGAACATACATGTATTTCACAAAGAACATGGTTGTATTTGACAAAAACATGCATTACCAAAGAACATAAAGATATAATAAAAAGAACGAGATAAAAGCTTGATAAAATTTTCTGAAAAATTACACATTATTAACGAGAAAAATTTAGAAGTGATAAATAATCGAGTAGGGCCGGGCCATATCATAATTTCTCGTGCTCAAACCCGTAGAAAAGTAGCGGGTTTTCGGGCTTTTTTCGAACCCGGATCGAGTTTTAACTAAAAATGCATTTTTAGGTTTGCCCAAACCCACCCTATTTCGGGCCGGATCGGGTCGGGATGTGAGTCATGCCAATGTTGATCACCTCTTAAAAAATCCTTACCAAAGATATCATTTCCCCAAAAAATAGTTTTCTATCTCTCCAAAAAAAAATTCAACTTCCCATAATAATTTAATTTTTTTTACTCTAACATTATTTTCAATTAAAAATAATTTAAGATTTCAATATCAAATTTCAAAATACCAAATGTTAAAAAGAACATAATTTATATTGTAAAGTACATATAGTTAATACCTAAATAACACACTAATCAAACTCAAAGAATGTGCGATAATAAAAGTAATTTAAATATGACATGATAATAAAAAATAGAATTTGGGCGTTACTACGACCTTAAAGAACATACACGCCAAATTCAAAGAACATACTTTGTATTATTAAACCCAAAAAAAAAAATGTTTATCACCATATGTTAAATAACATAAGTTATAATGTAAAGAACATATAATTTTACTCAAAGAACACACTGATCACACTCAAATAACATATTAAAGGTATGTTCTTTGTCAAACATAGGTATGTTCTTTATCAAACACTATATGTTCTTTCCGCCTTTTTTTGTTTACCCGGGTGCACCATGAGCATGGTGCACCCGAGTGTATTATCTAATTTTCAGTACAAATACTAAATTGTTCTCAAGTACTTTACACGATAGGCAGGTGTATGGTGTATTCATGAGTGTTCTTCGTTCATTTTATTTAAGCGAAATTAATCAAATGAGGGGAAATAAATAAATAAATTACGTAGTATAAGATATATAACAATTAATTATAGGTGTTTCGGGGTTTTCTAATGTCCTGCGGAAGAGTTACAATTCCGAGACTGGAACCGGACGCTTGTACCTGCAAAATAACGGAGACTCCTGTGAGCTCCGCCTCCAACGGTCAAGTTAGTACCTGATTAAGGAGTAATTAATGCGAAAATTAAAGTGGTTTGGTCTCTCTAGGTGAGAGTGTTTAATGTAGGTAATCTGCTTTGTTAGCGAGATCAACCGGTTATTACTGTGTGTAATTAATGTGTTTTTTTCCGTAATGTTTCTGTTCTCTTTTTGTAATCCCCTTAATGAGGATTAAGGGAGTTATTTATAACCTTGGGAAACGTGCCCATCCTAGGTTTAGGTAAACCTAGGGCCGATTGGGCTTCCCTCGGAAGTTGGGCCTGGGTGGCCGGTTTCTCCATTAGGCATGGAGTATGCCACATGTCTTGACATAACAGGTCCAAGGTGGACGAATAAGCGCGTGCCACGTGGGAAGCCCTGACTGTTCCAACTGGGGGACACTTGGCAGGACCTGATTGGTCCACGTGGCGCATTCCGATTGGTGGGAGCAAAATCCCCTAATCATTTGCCCCTCACAGGTGGCACGTGATTGGTCACGTGTTACCTGTGACAGGTGTCGCACTGTAACAGGCGACGGCCTGCTACAGGTGTCAGTCGGCGAAAGGACGAGAGATTTTCCCGCCCAAATTTTGAATTCTGAAAGTGACCCTTCGCCTTCTCACTTCGCCTGTATAAGGGAGAGTTGTCTTGAGTCATTTTCACACTTTGAGAACTTTTTGAGAACATTCGGACCCCTGAACTTGCTCTGACATTTTGGACCTTTTCTGCCTACCGCCTGTTCTGACAAGCCGACTGCACCGGATTTCCAGAACTTCATCAACCGTCACTCGTTCAGGTAACTCAGTTCTCTTACTCTTAATTTTCTTTTTATTTTCTGAAATGGCACCACGGAAGCACACGACACGACCTAGGTTAGTGATCAGCCGGTCACCGGGGACGGCTGAATCTAGGACTAGGAGTGCCGCCTGCCCTTTTCCGGACCCATCTTTGCCCTTTATACAAAGTCCGACTGTATCTGTGTCTATGCAGAGCAGGATGGCCAGAACGAAAAAGACAGCTAGGATCTCAAATTCAGACGGCTCCTCCCACAGGGTGCCGCTTAGTGAAACATCTGACCAGGCGCCAGATGTGGAAGTGAAACAAGGCGGCCTGGATGCCGGCAATTCTGTGGGGGGAGTCATAGTGACCCCTTCCCATTTAACAGTTAACAAATCTGCTCCTTTTCAAAGAGAGGAGGCGGGCCCCTCCGGGAGAGGAGAGGAGTCGTCCTCTTCAGACTCGTCGGAGGACGATTCCGAGTCAAGCTCTTCTGGCCATGCTTCTTTGGGTACAGAAGAGAAAAACAGCCGCCTGCAAGAGGCGAGACTTTCTCACGCAGTTGAGAAGGGGGACAATTGGGCGGAATCATCCGCCTCTTACCGAGAGCTAAATACCCCCTACTACTGCACGGTACCTCGGGGCCGAATCACAGCCACGCAAGAGAAAGTGGAGAGCTTTATTGCAAACCACACCATGGGCCCCGACTTTCTAGTGTTTGTGCCGGATCCAGAAGACACAGTCGTCTGGCCGGCTGGTTCCAGTTATGAAAGCGCCTGCTTTGGCTGCTACGAGGCGGCCATCAAGGCAGGGCTTCGCTTCCCATTATATCCGGCTGTTCAGCGGATTTTGGATGGGTATGAGTTGGGGTTATGGCAGTTAGCCCCAAACTCCTGGGTCAACGTACTCGGCTATGTGGCCGGGTGCGAACTGCACGGGGTGGAGCTGAGCTTCGAGGCTTTCGCCCATATGAACTATCTCAGCCGGACCCCTAAGACAGGCGGTACCGGCTGGTATCAATTGACAAGCCACAGGGGCTACCTCATGACAAGAGGTAAAGCAAACAAGTGGAAGGACTGGCGGAGCACCTTCCTCATCATTGAGAGTTCAGACATTGAGCAGAACAAGCGCTTCAATAGGTGGAACAGGAATCCGCCCCTTCTTGCAGGCGGCCGTAGCATGCCGCCTGTTCCCCCCAAGGCTAATAAAGAGATCCTTGATAAAGGACTCTTTAAAGTAGAGTCAAGGGTCGACTCTACTTCAGGGGTACGAGAGCAAGTACCCCTGCACTGCGTCCCGAGCTTCAAGTGGCTCTATGACGAGTACTTTTTGGCCGCCTGCGGCCTCAGCAGTCGGTGCTCAAGAGGTAGTCGGCCTGTCGAATACTCTGTTGTTCCATACATTTGTTGTTTATCTTTTATTAACTTTGCTGTTTGTTTTTGCAGCTGACGCCATGAGAAAAATCACCGCCTCCAAGACTGCGGCGACCATGTTGCGGGCCTCTATTATGCAACAAGCTTCAACCGACTCCCCCAAAAAGGGGGAACCCTTGGTGAGCTCCGAACCTTTCACCCTCTTTTTGGAGTGTTTATGCATATACTGACTTTTTTCTTCTGTTTTAGACGGGTGCTCCAAGAGCTTCATCTTCCCAACAGCCGGACCCCAAGGCCCGGAAGACGACTGTTGGGAGCTCTCCTGGTTCTGCCAGGAAACAGGTGGCGGCTGAGAAACAGCCGGCCACTTCTTCTAAAACTCCAACTGGGCCGCCTAGAGGTATGAAGTTGTCCTTGTAAATTTTAGACTTGCTCCCTTTGTTACTAAGTCTAATCCGTTTGTTTATGCTTGATGCAGCCGGCCCCCAGGAGCCTGACTTGGTAGAGATGGCCAAGTCTATGATCAGGGCAGTTCCTCCAGCTGAAAGGGAGGCGGTCAGGGGTGTCGGCACCCTTGACCTTGACGGGATTGCAGGGGTCCTTGCTGAGGTATACTTAGCATATTTTTGAGTATTTGAATTTCTGGACGCCTGTTTTCTTTTTTGTTTGGAAACTGACGCCTGTTTTTTTGTACTTAGGCCCTGCTCCGAGTTAACGGCCTTCGCAAGCCGCTTGATCGGAAGAACAAAGAGGTAAAGGCTGCAAAAGCTATGGCCGTCTCTGACTGTGATAAGGCAATGTTTCAAATTGCCCAAAATGAAGTACTGACCATTGATATTCTTTATTATCAGGCGCAGGCTACCGCCGCTGTTCGGGCTCAGTTAGAGGCGGCCCAGAAGAAGAATGACGAGCTGGAGGCGACCATCACAAATCTCAAGGCTGAGCTGAAACCTCTTCGCCTGAAAATGTACTCTTACGTAGCCATGGAGAAATCCTTGGCCAGCGTAAAGGAACTCCTGGTGACCCAGGAGAAGAGTCTTACCCAAGAGCTCTCGGAAAAGGCCGAGCAAGAGAAGAAAGAGTTGGTCCGGGAGATGATGGAAGACTCCGCTCAAATCCAGCGCATGACCTGGGGCCGCCTCTTCCCCAGTGCCGACTTTGCCTCTTGGGAAAGAACGTACCGCCAGTTTTCGGATACATATAATCAAGAGATCCTGGCGGCTGCTGAAGAAGAGGCGTTGGGGGAAGCGTTGGAGGAGGAGGAGCCGGTAGTGGCGCTTGTGCCGCTTGGGGGTAAGGCATCAAAAAAGGATGCAGCTGAAGCCGAGTCCAGCAAGAAGAGTGCTGACCAGGCGGCAGCTGCTAATACTGAACTGCCCCCTTCTTAAGCTTTATGTATTCTTTCCACGGCCTACGTGTCGTTTGCT